AAAAAATCTGTACAAAGTTACACATAAGATTGTCATTTTACAGGGCCAGTGACAAAACTTTTCAAATGCCCCATGTAGTACTGTAGAGAAAGATTGCGCAATAGAGAAAGTTTTGGGTAGGCTCTGAGCTGTGTACCGTAACAGAGGCCTGAGATAGAGAATTGAGAACCTTGAGCTGTGTGCTGAAACAGGGAGATTTATATATTGGACTCTTATTTTATTTATTTTATCTTATATATTTATTGGACACATTCTGAGCTGTATTTGAATTTACATGCTCGCAACACCAATAAGTTATGAATTTCCATACTACCAAGACTATGAGGAATATACTTATGAAGAGCTAATAGATATAGCTGTGGAAGAAGTTAATGACGAAGTAGAAAACATTATTAATGAAAATGACAGTTCTATTGATTTAATAATTGGGTCCTAGAATCTGGAGATACTGTCAAACAACTTATAAGAAATTCAACTTATTTGAAGGGCCACAAATTAAGGTAAGTTGTGTTGATGTTAAGCTGTTTAAATGTATATCCTTTTATTAACATTAAAACATGCATGAAGGTTAGAATTCTGGGGTGTAATCCAATGTGGTGTGAATATTGCACCACCTAAATGGTGTTCAAAATCGAATTATGAAGAAATACAACATGCTTGTCAGCCGCGAATGAAATTAAACATTTTCTGGTTGAAATTAGAGGATTGTTTGTGCTGGTATGACAATATTGTTTTCAATCTATTATTTTATTATATAGTGACTAAAAAGTTTTTAAACTTAGACTATCTTTTGTTTACAGGATTCGTTGGATACTTTTGTTCCTGCTTTAAAAAATCTCACACAAATACCAATGTTATTGAATGATCCAATGACCTCTTTCTTTTTAAAAATTCTAGAAAATTTGTATTTATATATATAGTAAATTCACTTATTTTTGATATTTTTGATATGCATATTTTTTATACTATTCCATTTAATTTTTATCTTTTTACCCTATTATTATCTCTTAAACGGTCAGAGTATTCTTTAATTGTAACACAAATTAAAGTTTTGATCATTCTTATTGGTCAATTAAATGTTCAGCAAAGTAAAAACAGTCAATCGACCAACTTTTAAAGATTTACAAAAACCACAAGGACAACAACTGGATTTTTATTTATAAGTTAATCAGCTGAATCCCAAAGATCATTTTCGTATTAGAAAGTGATGCCTCAGAAAAAATTTTTTATATCAGAAAAATTTTATCAGCTATCAATAGCCGATTAACCGTTTAAGGGATATAATTATTATGTGTTTCCCGAAGGTTCAGTTATGCAACATCACAACGTATCTGAAAGTTCATATGGACTTTATGTGATTAATCTGAGTTTACTAGAACTTGTGCGTGGACTACAAGAAACATTAATCTATAAACCGTATGTTTTATTTTATTCAGGAAACAGATAGTTTTACATTTATAAAGAAATATGGAGTTCTCTTCATGATGTTTTTTCTTTTCTTTTATAGAGGTGAAATATTGTTATCATGTGTTGAATCCTACAGAAAAAGGAAAAAGGTTACAACTCACTTCGAACAAAAAGCTGATGGGATTTTCCTTATGCAAGACAAAAAATCATTAATTGAAATATGACATTTAGAAATAAGTGGTGGTTACGGGCATGTTGACAAACCGAGAGCTGCATGGGATCATCTAAAGGGAGCAGTAGGTAATATATATATGCTTAAGGATTTATCGTATCGATTTGAGAAGGCCAAATAAGAAACGTTTTCAAAAATTAAAGTTTGTTTCTTGCATGCATACGGTAATTTATTGTTCATAAATTTTATATCGATATTCCATTCTTCATTTGTAGACATTTAATTATTTCTCATTCTGCAGAGAACTGCTTAGAACTATGGAGGATGACAAATCTGGCATCAGGTGTTCTTTTGTTTGAAAGAACCCATAAGTCCATTGTCCCGATAAATTGGGACAACGATAGAATAAATTTTTTTAATTACATTGGTCTTTTGTGGTCCTTGAGGGTACCTTGATCTTTTTATATTGTTCGGTTTATTTGTAGCATTTATTTAAGTATAATTGATCATTTTATTGTTTTTTTTATAGACGGACTTACTTGATGCAATTCAAAAATTAAAAGTTTATGAAAAGAAGACAGTGGAAATCTGTTTGGAGAACCACAAATACAACAAGGACTACCAAATCTTGGATGTAGTCCGCACCGGGATAAACATTACGCAGGCATCGGAGAGACCCGAGTTGTGAGTCTGAATAGTAGTCCAACTCCAGCAGCACCAGTTTTTTTAGGGTAGACAAAGTTAAAGTGCCAAATTTATTCTTTGATGATAATTCATATTGAAAAAAATATGGGAAAGTAAACATATGGGTCTTTTTATTGAGCATATAAAAATAATAACTGAAACATAATACATAAATAATATAATAGAATTATATTATATGATGAGAAATGATTATTAAGGATGAAATGAAAAAATATTACAATATATTATTTATTATTAAATTATTTTCTTAATGCACAGTAAGAAGTTTTTTTATTTAATTATTTAATTAGCTTACATGTTATTGTTGTTAGAGTAAATTGGAAAAAAAAATTTGTTGGTATTAATAGTACAGGATTGATAAAAAATATAAAAATAAAAATAAATTGATATTTTTCTGTCTATTTACATGGGATAGTGCCAAAAACGTAATATCTTCTTATTCAAGAATATTTTTTTAAATTATACTTTATTACGTGAAATTAGTACAAATAAAACAATTTTTTTGGAAGAGTAAGATTCAAAAATAAAAATTTTTAAATTTTTTTAATAATGAGAAATTTTATCAAGTTATGAATAGCTGGTTTCTAAAATTTCGATATGCTAAATCGTACAATTTTTTTTTTCAGAAATTCAAAATTCAAAATTTGATTGAAAAGATCGTTATTTGATCAACAAAACGCGAACACTAATTATTTATGTATGTTTTTTTTTTTGAATTTTTTTTTTGAAAAAAGGATTTAACTTCTCAACAAGTTGCTCAAATTGAAGTTAAAGAGACTAAAAGATGATCTTGATTGAAAATAAAAGGTAATTAAAAAATTAACAAAGTTGAAAAAAAAGTAATTATTTGTTTTATCAAGTTATTCTGCCAGTTTTCTTTTTTTTCTTGATTCTTTACTAGAATTCTCTAATACTCTTTTGAAAACTCTTTCCTCTTGGTAAATTTCATAAGTAATCTTTTCTTTGTCTAAATATGTTTGCAAAGATTTGGTATCTGCTAATTTAAAAATGTAAGGAGCAATTTTTCACCTTGTTCCTTTTTCAAAATACTTCTAATGGTGCTGTAATTCTTGGGTTCCATAGTAGATCTGATGTAAATGAGTTTCATATTAACTATTTTTGTCTAGATGAATATCATGATCACATTACATTGATAATACAATTTGTGATGTTAAACAAACATTATTGGTCCCTGAAATCTTTGGTAATACCAATGTTCACTTTGTCTGGTTTTGTTGCAGCATGCCCCATTTAAGATTATGTAAATATTCTATGTCTTTAGCAACTGATTTAACTTTTGTTCTTGATTAAGTTGCAAATGCCATAAAAGTACAGCTTCAATATCATCAATTGATTGACCATTATTAAAGATTTGTTAAAACTTTTGCACAAATTGATTGGGTATACAATGACATTATATCATAAACGATATGGAGAGTAATAAGATTAGTTAAAATGTTTTTGTTATGTAAATCCTAACAACATATGTTAAATTTTCAAGTTACTTTGACTAGATGGATTCAGGACCCTTTTTAATCTTTGTTGTATAATCGATACTACTTTTTTGTTTTTATCAAGGCATAATCTACTATGGCAAATTACTCCAATTATTTCTAAAGGCTTCTTTCATCTTCGAATAAT